CAGCTTTGACCGTTCTCCCAATCTCCTCCTGCACCTTTTCTGGAAGGAACAAACACAGTTGGATTCCAGCAAGGAAGCCAGTTCCCAATTCAGTTTTGGGAAAAATGTATTTTTCCAGGGTCTGGAGGGAAAGAATTCTTAAAACACCAGCCTGGGTTTCCCAGATCTATTTCTAGTTCAGGCACGTGGATGGATTGTTTCCCCAGCATCATACTTCAATCTCCACTCATCCTCTCTCCCAGCAAGGCACAGGGACTATTTGGTTGTGACTTTGATCACCATCTAATTACATCAGGAGTTCATAGTAATAAACAGATGGGATTCAGCTCTTAAGGCAAAAGAGCTCCTGTGAATCTGAGGCCAGGCCTCTGCCCTCCCCATATCTGCCACGCCGTGGGTGGAGTGTAGGTGAAAGGAGCTCACTTTGAATCTCTGGGTATTTCATCATCAGCAGGATGGCCCACTGGAGCGTTGTGGCTATGGTCTCTGTTCCCGCCATGACCAGGTCGAGTATGGATGCTATTAAGTTGTCATCATGGAAGAGACTGTCTTTCTTGTTTTTCTCCTTGAAAAACACAAGTGGTAAGAAAGGTCTTAAAACTGTCAGTCTTAGTATTCAGCAAGCTTGGGAAATACTGCATAGCCTACAACACTGTTGACTATGATCTTGTGTTCATAAACTGGGTAATAAAATCGATCTGATCATGAATGCACAGCATTCACCAAAGATGGGAGCACCAAAGTTGGAAGGTTTGGAGCAGAGTTTTGGTTCGGCATCCATCTCCAGCCAGAAGCAGGCTGAAGCCCAGGGCCAGATGCTGTTCACAGACTCAGCCTCACAAGTTGGGAAAGAATCACAGAATCATAGAATCATTTAGGTTGGAAAGGACCTTTAAGATCATCGAGTCCAACCGTTAACCTAGCACTGCCAAGTCCACCACTAAACCATGTCCCTAAGCACCACGTCTACACGTCTTGTAAATACCTCTAGGGATGGTGACTCCACCACTTCCCTGGGCAGCCTGTTCCAATGCTTGGCAACCCTTTCGGTGAAGAAATTCTTCCTATTATCCAATCTAGACCTCCCCTGGCGCAACTTGAGGCCATTTCCTCTTGTCCTATCGCTTGTTACGTGGGAGAAGAGACCAACACCCACCTCGCTACAACCTCCTTTCAGGTAGTTGTAGAGAGCGATGAGGTCTCCCCTCAGCCTCCTTTTCTCCAGGCTAAACAGTCCCAGTTCCCTCAGCCCCTCCTCATAAGACTTGT